TTTTTTTTTTTACATCCAAGCATTCCGCTCCATTTTCTTTAATGGTAAGATCAGGCAATTATATTATAATTTTTTCAACAGATATACATACTTTTAAATTGAAATGCTACGCGGGGAAGTATGTCATTTTATAGTTTTTTAAGTATGTGTTTCTTATGAAAAAAAAAGTATACAATTACACATTCTTAGACATAAATTTGTTCATGCTACAAAGGGCTTTCTAGTAATTTTGAGTTCCCTCGTTTTTTGTCTAAATGGATTTGGTTTGGAAAGGTCGCGATCATACAGATAATATAATGAGGTAATTTAATGACAAGCTGTTGTTTATGACTAAAACGAGATTAGGACAACCTATCTATCAGACCAAATGCTTTATTTGCAGACACGGCTATGGACATTATTTTGAATCGTGAATGAGAAAACAATGTTTCGACATTGACGTAATCCTAAGCATATGTACGTTATCAACTAAGTTGTTCTATTTTTCTTTTTTATTATTATTATTATTATTATTGTCCACTATTCTAGAATAGGTTAGGATATATTAATTGAATGATATTTTGTAATTGAATAACTCTTCTAACTTGTTAATTCTGCAAATTAATTTGTAATTTGATTTTAAATTTAATATTGCAAGATGTTAAGTTGAGGAGCTTGAGACCATCTCTAGTCCTTATCTCTATTCTAGTACAGAGTTTACTCTACTCTAGAGTAGAGTTAACTAAAAATCAAATTTGGCCTCCAACCGTTCGCGCTACATTCTACTCTACATATATTATTCAAATTATTTTAATTTATTTAATATGTCAAAATATTATTTAATTGAACATATTATTTTATAAAATAAAATATATCATGATATTAGTTGGTCTTCCACTGGTTTGAATATTGTTCCACAAAGAATTATTATTTTTATATAATATTTGATTTATTTTTATAGTAACTCAATATAAAAATATATTTTTAAATAATAATTTTTTTATATAAGTCTCAAATTAAATTATAAATTTAATAGTAAAGACTGTCAAATAATGAATTTTAAGATAAATCAATTGCATATAATAAAATAAAATAAAAAAAAATAAAAATTGTAGAGTAATGAATAGTACCGCGCCAGATGTAGCGCGATACTGTTCATAACTCTAGAGTAGTGCAGAGATGTAGCGTACCGTTGGAAAATAATTTTGACTCTACTTTAGCGTAATACTCTAGAGTAGCGCAACACTGGAGATGCTCTGAGCTACTCTGTGCCAAAATATAATCTCGACGGAGGTTGACGGTTAAATGTATTTTTCTTTTATTTTTAAATAAATATATAAAATTCTTGAAATGTCCTAAAAGTCAGTTTTTTTTGTTTTAATCAAAAGTCAAAACCACTTTTATTTCCGGTTTATAGGACAATTGACAAACCCGTATAGTTCAGGTGATGGTTTGCAAAAAAA